AATTCCCCAGCACTGTTCCCATCCCCCCAATTCCCCAAAAAAAATCTTAAAAAAAAAAAAGAGAGATGTCAAAGCTAAGTCAGAGTCAATCACATACTAATCATCATTCATCCACTCTGTGTACCACAGGACAAGCCTCTCCCAGAAATTTATAACCACAAGCTGGCACTACATAGGTCTGCAGTTTGAATTTACACTAGTGAAATGACCAAGAAAACCTCAAGTGAAGAATTGAAAGTGGTTCCAGCTTTGTTGTACCTCCCAGACAACTCATATATCCGATAAAAGACTTTTACCTAAAATACAGAAAGAAAACTTATGACTTGATAGTAAAAAGACAAACAACTCAATTAAAAAATTGGCAAAGGATCTGAATAGACGTTTCTCCAAAGAAGATATACAAATAGTCAATAAGCACAAGAGAAAATGTTCTACATCACGAATCATTAGAGAAATATAAATCAAAACCATAATGAAATACCACTGTATACCCACAAGGATGGCTATAATAAAAAAGTCAGATAAATAACAAGTGTTGGTGAGGCTGTGATGAAATTGAAACCTTCATACACTACTGGCAGGAAGGTAAAATGGTACAGTCACTGTGGAAAACAGTTTGGTGGTTCCTCAAAATGCTAAACATAGAATTACCATATGATACAGCAATTCCGCTCCTAGGTATATATCAAAAAGAATTGAATGCAGGGATGTGAACATATACTTGTACACCAATGTTCACTGCAGCACTATTCATTGTAGCCAAAAGGTGGAAACAACCGAAGAATCCATCAACAGATGAATGGATAAACAAAATGGAACATATACATACAATGGAATATTATTCAGCCATAAAAATGAAGTTCTCATATATGCTAAAACATGAATGAACCTTAAAGACATTATGCTAAGTGAAAGAAATCAGGCACAAAAGGATGAATATTCTTTGATTCCACTTATAAGAAGTAGTTAGAATGGGGAAATTCATAGAGACAGGAAGTATTGTAGATTAAAGGTTAGTAGAGGCTGGGGGGAGGACAAACGAGAGGTTATTGCTTAATAAGTAGTTTCTGTTCAGGGTAATAAAAAAGTTTTGGAAATAGATAGTAGTGATGATTATACAGCACTGTGAATGCAATTAATGCCAATGAACTGTACACTTAAAAATACTTAAAATGGTAAATTTTATGTTATAGAAAAAATATAACAGGTTAATAAATGAAGTACTGATACATGCTACAACACAGATGAACCTTGTAAATATTATGCTAAGTGAAAGAAGCCAGTCACAAAAGATCACATATTATATGATTCCATTTTTATGAAACGTCCAGAAAAGGTCAAGACAAAAAATAGATTAGGAGTTTTTTAGGAACCCTTAAAGAGCAAGATGGGGGGGTGATAGGTAAAACATAGGGTTTTTGAGATGATGAAAATGTTCCAAAATTGACTATGTTCATGGTTGCACGTATCTGTGCACATACTAAAAGGCAGTGAACTGTATAGTTTAAGAGGGTGGATTATATTGTATGTGACTTATACCTCAATAAAGCTGTTTTTTTTAAGTATCCAGAGGAAAAAAAATTACAGATTACAGTTAGACTGATTCAACAACAATGGAAAGGAGTCCATGGAATAATATTGTCGATGTCCTGAGAGAATTTAACTGTCACCCTAGAGTTCTACACATAGCACAACCAATTTTCAAGAACAAGGGCATAGTAAAGACATTTCCAGACAAAGACAGAGATTTTGGCATCAAAAGATTCTCAGTGAAAGAATATTCTAAAGGAGATCCTTTTAGACAAAGGAAAATGATCTCAGATTGGAGGACTAAGATGCAAAAACAAATGATAAGCAAAGATATCAGTAAATATATGGGCAAATCTAAACAAACATCAACTGTGAAAACAATAATAATGTCTCCTTCATGTATATATGGAGGAGGATGGAGAAGAAGGAGCTAGAACTAAAACCAAACAATAGCACGTAACTGGGAGTGACGTCACCAGAGTTAAAGCATTCTAAAGTCCTGGTATCATTTAAGATGAAGGTACAGATACTGGTTACCTTTTGACTTTAAGAAAAACCACATTAGAAAGGAAAATTGATAAAATTGTAAATGTTTATTAATTCATTAAAAATAATAAACCTATCACATTGTAATGTAAACGGCATATTTTATGAAAAATAACTATAATTTCCAAAAAAGAAAAATAGTAGAATGAGATTGTCTTACACTTTATATTACATATGCATGTTAAAATAGGTACAACAGCACCTAAAAGAACACACACACAGAATGTGTTAACTTCCAAACAAGAAGAGGGGAAAAACCACAATCAAATCGAAAATGGGGGG